CTGTAGCTGCCTACCCACTAACGGGCAAGATGATTTAGTCTCGTCTCATATGGAGAAGTCAAGCATCTTTGCAATGAACGTCGGTCATTTTGCTATTTGGAGATTCTCACATCGTGTTTTCAAAGCCTTGTCATGGTTCAACTTCTTGCTTGGGCCTGGATGTTTCGTATAGCAAAATGGCGAGCAGAAGTTGTTAGAGCATTGGCTGGAAAGGGGAGGAATACCGTTCCTGCAACTATCTATCTCGCTAGACTATTTTTCGACTAACTTAGCAACGAGGCCGTTCCCCCATACCTTTCAGTTGCAAACAGCTAACTCGGATGCTCTTACTTGGAGCTCGCGATTAACGATGTTTTCAGTGTGTCTTCGCTTTTCCAGCTGGCAGTCGAAGACGCTGCTATGGTCTCGGAGCAAAACAGTGTTGAAGATCAGGAAGGAACATATGCTTTGGGTGAAACCCATTTGTAGAATTTGCATGACATCGGTCCTTTAAATGTTAATTGCTTTGTGATCGTTAGCCAGGATAAGCTGATTACTTTCAAGCTAGGGGCGGTATCCTTGGCAAACAGCGTGCGCCTGTAGGGATCGGCTACGCAAGCTTTTTGTCGGAACATCCCGGAGCAAAAAAACTCGGATCAGACTCTTCACAAAAACTTCAACCAGCCAGAAATTATTAGACATGCGACTGTCTCTTGACCCCTTTTAAAAAATGATCCTTTTATTAAAAAAAAAAAAAAAAAAACTTACTAAAGAAAAATAGAACCTTTCTTCCTTCCAAAATAGTCTAATATTAAGCGCCTATAGAATATATAATAGCGCATGAAAAGACACTCAAGTGCGGTACATAATACGAATTTCGAAGCATAATTTCCAGTTCCGTCTCTTATCACAACTCTGTTACTTGCCAGATATTTACAGAAGCTTTACTTACAGAAAAATAGTTTTCTCCTATCTTTCTGTGTGTTTTTGCTTTTGTTTTTGAACTCATCACCACCTATGACTTGGAACGACGAGAAAATGCGCCACTTATTCAATAACCTCTGCTCGCGCCCGACAGATTTTCTATACCAAATTTATTTACGACTTATAGAAAATATGATTACACTATTTTTCTCTTTTCCTTTTTTTTTTTTGTCTAAATAATTGAAAAGAAGCACTTCCCACCAGACTAAACAGTTCAGATTTTACGCCCGTCATTGCTGTTTTACGAAACGAAGTGTACGTTCGAGACTAGTGCCTATACACAAAGCTATTGCGAGACCTCCATTTAGACCTCTGTATGCCGACTCGTGCCACAATGTTATGTTGAAAGCTATCGTTACGGAGGAACGGTGACTCAATCTTCTGCGAATTTACGCTGAGTACAGTTTCGCAGCATATAGATACAGTGTAGTAAATGTCGGTGAAATAATAAAAAATTGTATTTACTACAAGTATTAAAGATTTAACCAACTTTCCATCTGGCGTGCAATTTCATTTATCCTCCGAGTACTAGTCGGTAGCAGCTGGCGAAGAGGGACTGAGGTGTCGGAAGTGGAAATTCCCTTTCGAATGGCTTCATATTAGAGAGACAAACAAAACAATTAACTGCATCTAAGTTAGCATACTGAAACCAACCGGCTGTTAGATAGCAGTACTTACCTAGAGGAATGTATCTAGATTACGTAATACCAGGTGACGTGTATCATACATTTGGAGCAATAAGAAAATTATTACATAGCTGGGCTTGTTCAAACTAGATTTATAAAAAAATTACGCATGAAAATGAAAAAGGTCACAGTTAGCCAGGTTTCCAGGCTGACAAGTTCAATGAAAATCGCATCAGGATCAATACAGACTGACCCTGATGGACCCGCTGGGACTCGGAAAGAAGGAAGCCATACTGTTCAAGTAACGATCGTATTTTCCAGAACCCAAAAGCTAATTTTGAGATATCTGCGGCTGTAATAAATCAGTAAAGATTGATCTCTATATAATAGACTGTTATTTATTAGACATTGATTAGCTTATATCTATCCAATATGACATCAATCCATTCTAGACATTGAACTAGTAAACAACGATCATGCCGGCTCTCAGTATCGAATTGCGCGGGATGCGTTAGCAACAACAGCACTTTTATTTCAGACGTAGTAGGAATGCGGCAGAGTCTGATTACGACATATTTACTTTGTAAAATCGTACTGTTTGGGAGCTGTTTGGCAGGTGATGCTGTCATAGACCTTGGAGAATCCGCATCTCTGGATTGTCATCGTGATAGATAGGTGATTCGTTTTGTATAGCAGAGTCATCTTGGGTGTTCTTTCTAGGTTTCGGAATAACGGATCGAAGGGACAGAGTCAGTACGTGCATGGCAAGGAAAAGCTTGATGCCAAACGAATAACTTGATACAACTTACTATTCTCATGACAACTCAGGATGAAGCAAAAGACGCACAGAAATTGACTGGTTTAGTTATTATAACTGATTTACGTACGTTCCAAGATCGAGTGTAGACATCGTTCAAGCAAATGCTTCACCAATTCAACCTGGACTCACATTTACGGTGATCTCTTTCCGATCGTAGCTGCTAATACACGGATTACTTGAAATTACAGAGGAAAGCAAGTGAGGTTTGGCAAGATTTCGTCGACACTTCTTCCCTGATGTCAGGTCAGATCGGCGGCCAGAACTCAGACCTATTGGTCATGCAGCTGCGTCGACGTTCGACGCTTAATCGACCTGGTTACTCTTACGTGCTAGAGGCGGCACGAGGATATTATTGTCTGACCCTGGTAAAAACGGTACAAGCCTCAATTACGAAATTGCAAATGCCGATCTCCCCAGATATTTTCGACATCATTGTCGAGTATATCTATACCAGTCGAGTGATCTCAATACCAATTCGGAATCTGGTGAAACTGTTTGCCGTAGCAAATTTGCTCGAGCTTGATGAGGTGCTGATGCAACTGGAGATATTCTTCAGTGAAAATTCTACCGCGTGTCTAGAATCTGAGGAGTTCCTCGTAAATGAATCGTTTGAAGACGTAGCACAGTTTTTAACGAAGTGCCTAGTCCGTCTAAGTGAGTCTGATCGATTGATGTTGGTACAAAAAATTTACAGGTGGGCTGCAAAACATTTCATCAATTCGTCCCAAGTGGCGATGTTGGCTGAGTACGTTTGTAATACCATTCCCGGCATTCTAAGAAACGGCTTTGGTAAACGCTGGCCGCACACGACGGCCCTACTGGTCACGACAAGTGGCTTGTTTCATGGTCCGACGAGAGTTCCGTGCTCGGAACCTCTGAGAGGCATGTTCAGTCTCTCTCGAAATCCCATCCTCATTTGTGGCGACGAAGTGTTTATGAACATGGGCGATAGACTGAGTGTATACGGAATCGTAACTGGGTTGTTACTGCGAACCTCCGCTCAGCTTGGCTGGGTCAAAAGACTAGTCCTTTGTAACGATAAAGTGTACACGTGGAATGGAAATCGCATCTTTGAAATAATCACGGATCCGTTAGAAGGCCGTATTGTGCCGTATAGCACACGAAGCAACATTGATAGACTGCATATAATCAACGACGATCAATACACTCTACAGTTCTATTACAATGATACCAACTGGCGTTTGTATGTCATCACTTGTTATGCCAATGGGCTGGAAATTTCCGACCAGTTCATAACAAACAATTGCTACCTGATCGGAGCGCACGGAGACAGTGCGTTTATCTGGACAAGGCAACACCAGATGAAAGTTTTTCGTAGGCAGTCGTGTATTTTCCAGTATGACTTCTTTGCTGATCCGAGTAGTGCCGTTTCATGCGGCAGCGTCGTCTATCTGAAGTTCGATTTTGACCTCAAGGTTGTGGAGACTGATACGCATTTGGTCTCCGCTATCGCCTGTCCACCATTTAATAACCTCGGACGACTGATAGTGAGGGGAACGTTTCAGTAATACGGTACATACTCGTTGTCTGTTATAATTATGTATTATTATCGGTATGATCTATAATTACAGTGTGGGCTAGCTGAAGGTAGTAACCAGTATAGAACCCCGATTGGCTCTGTGCTGTGCATATGTGTTATTTATATTCCAACATAGTGATATTTACTAGTAAATCGTTCACTCATTATTTAGAGCTATATTTCGCTAAACAGATGTCCTTTTTTCCACCGATATGGGTGCGAACATAGTTGGGCCATTGTCGTAGTTTAGCAAAGTGAACTAGGTACCGTAGCGTTAAGAAACGGGGTGATGGTAAGGGGGGATAGCAGGACCTTGCGATCTGTATACTGGTATATTTTTTCGTAATCTTATTTTTGCAGAAAGCGCCGCATTGTCCTTACTGTACAGACTTCTTAAATAATTGCTCTCGAGTTATTTTCGTAATCATTCTATTATATTTTAAAATAGAGAAATTAAAAAATAGAGTTTTACTTTATAAACTGTCTGTTATAAGATGCACTCATATATCAACCATTATATATATACATATAGAGAAATCTAATTATGACAACTTGTATTGAGTTTTTTTTTTGTGAGAAATGGCTGGACCAAGACCAATCCGTTATTTCGCAAGCAGCCCCATTGCCGAACTTTAACCTATTGACAGAATCGACAGATTGGTTGTGTTGCAAGGGGCTCCACAAGAGCCCAGAACGGGGATAGAAAAAGATAATAAAAGGAATAGTTTTTTTTGCATTTAGGCCTTGAGCTCATGACTTCAACATAATTTATCTGTGTTTACAACAGTCATTTAGCAACCAGCCATTTGATTTTGTCATTAT